TTACGTTTTTTTTTTTTTTTCTATAGTGCTTAAGATATATATATAGTTGTGTGGATGTTTTTTCCATCAAGACACGCGCGTGTAGGTATAATTGCAATGCACCCGCGTTACGAAACCCTATGTTATTTTACAAACAAATACAAATACACGAGCATGTATATACTTACAGGACGCCTTTGTTTTTCTCTTCGTTACAGCCAGAGCGTCCTTAATTTACAATCGTAGCGCGATTGTATGCGCGAGCACAATTACTTTCGCATTTAATTGCGATTGTTCGTGTAAAAGTTTCAAATTTCCTCGGTTACTTTTTTTTTTTTTTTTTTTTTTTTTTTTACTTTGCATGCACAAGCTACGTGCATAAGGACCTTTTTTTTTAAAAGGATTTTTAATGACAAGCAGGGGCCCATTGTGCACCGTATAGTCCGGTAGTTTTATTGCAAACTCCGTGTGTTGCACATAAGGCCCTTTTTTTTCTTTTTCACCGGGGATGTGCCCCCACGCGGGCACGGGGCTAATTTTATTTTTGTCGCGTTTTTTTTTTTTCTCCGGCTGAGCTTACACGCGACGTGGGTGCGGTTGGGGCTTAAATTAGGCCTTCCTTGCTCAGGTCTCCGCTGTGTCTCTCGATTTTTTCTTCTTCTTTTTTTTTATCCTCTACGCAAGGGATTTCAATTTCAGTACCGTGTGGCCTCTCTCTTTTTTGATGCGCATAATGATCATATTAATGCGATGTGTTTGAGAGGTTTTCATCTTTTTTTTTTTTTTTTTGGCAAGGAGGGCTTTATTGTTTTTTGAACGTAAGGTCGTGCTAAATTGGATGTAACCCGAGTTTGTCCTGCTGGAAAATAAGTCATGAATTCGCGATGCCGATTCTCCCGACTCCTTTCTTTTTTTTCGCTCGGACACGTACTCGCAGGGGGACTATTTTTTTGATAAACGACGAGAGTGCAGAGTCCGTGTGTATTTTCATTTTTTTTTTTTTTTTCCCTAATTGAAATGATTTATTGCACGACAGTAACGCGCGATGTATATTTCAAATCGAGAGTAAGGCGGTAAAAATAGATTCGATCTCTCGCGCTCGGGTGCCCTTTGTCGCCGTGTGTTCGCGACGTAACAATAAGCAATTATATATCGAGCGCGCGACCCGCTTGCGAGGGAGAGAGAAAAAATCCAAAACAATGCCCCTCTCGAATTACATGTTGTTATTCCATTCATGTAACGATTTGGCGTTCCTCGCCGTGGCTCATTTAAATTTTTAACGCTAGATACATATATATATAATTTTATATACCTTGACGAGCAATTTTAACACGATAAAGAAAAAAAAAAATGAAATACTTCCAATTAAAAGTAAGTATTCCATAGCGGTGCACACGAGTGTTCTTCAGGAGCGGTTCTTTGAATTCATCTTTTTCTCGAGCCAACAGCTTTTGAATATGCATAAGTAGATAGTGGTCGAGATTGGTCGGACTCAATGGTCAGACGCAAAGTGACTGGATTCCCGGAATTCTTTTGCTTGCGCTATAGGTAGACGTGCAGTTATAATGGCTTGTCCTTCGGTGAATTTGTACTCTCCTGTATACCAGAATTTGTCAATTAAATCGTAAGTCATAAAGGGTCACAGGAATCTGGGATGAAAAAAGGGGCACGGCCCCTTCAAAGTTTCCGTAAAGACTCCGAAAAGTCGAAATACTTTGACAGAATTTACTGTATTTGCAGTCATTCAAAGCTAATTTTCTGATTATTTCAAACGAGTTTAGAAGACTCTAATGAGCTTGTACATTTTCCACCCTCATCTTAATCAACAAACCTAAAATACAAGGTATTTTATTTTATTGAATGTATCGTCGGTATGAATTTCTAAGTGATTATAAATCTTTGATAATCATTAAATGACTTTATTTGTAATAGAAGGTTAGTAATTAACCTATTCAAAATCATACTGAAAGTAATACAAATGGCTTTTGTAATTCTACAAAACTACTATCTTCAAACTTCAAGTGACATTTGAAAGACACTGAAAGTATTTGTTTATTGACTTCTTTCGGTAAAAATAGGGGCACAGCCCCACAAAAACCTTTGAGTTTGAAATGAGGTTATGGTAACTGGGTTTTTTATTGTTCGAAATCTTAAAATGCACACTCCGTGTGAAAAAAAACTATGTACTGTTCAAAGTCCTTAAAAATTCCAAATCACATCTAATAAGCAGTCTCTTGGCTTTTACGAGCTATCACTTGGAGCAAAAAATTCAGCATCCCCATGCCTTATGCAACTATTACGCACAAGAGCAATTTTTTTTCTTCTCAACAAGAAAAAAAAGGTTTACCAGCCTCACCGTAATATACCAGCAGACAAAAAAAAGATACTTTACGCACGTACACACAAGCTTGCCCGTAAAAAAACAGAGTAGTGAAATAAAAACCCTCTTACCGTAATCTCTATGCAACTCGTAACTGTATGTACTTGCCTAACGTAATTTCCAGTGAAACTACAGGCGTTGATCTCCATCCGAGCGATAAAATTATATTTCCTCGCATCGTGACGCCGAAAACAGAAAAAAAAAAAAAAAAAAAAAAAAAACTAGCGGCAGAGCAAAAAAACACATATTTCCAAACGCGAGCCATCTCTGGGACATATCCCATTGGTGGCAACCGTGTTATATAACAACGAGGTATTCCACGGAGCACCTTTTTTCTTCCCCCTCGACCCATCGGCTCTCCAAAAGGAGAAAAAGAAAAATCTTCGTCAGTTGTATGCCCATTCATAGCTAGTTCTCGGGCTACAGCTGAAAAAATTCTGTCGAAAGAAGATGAGGAGCAGGAGGAGGAAAAATGCACGTACCCGTATACATACCTCGCTGGAGATGGCTCCCGTTGGATTGCGGAACCCCCGCTTCGAGGCAACAGCGACTCTATATAACCCAGAGAGAGCGCATTAAAAGCTATATGCGAGATCTCGTCTAATCTCCTTCTCCCTCGAAGAGAGCGGTTAACTAGATTATACGAGCTGCTACTGGATCTCATCCTTCTGTATACGTGTGTGAGTGGAACTTCCTACTCTTCTCCCGCTATGTGTTCTCGGCTCGTAGAAGCTTTCTCTCCTTAAGCGATGGACTTTCTCCCTTTGCTTCCGCCTTTTTTTTCCATCCCCTTCAAAAATACATCTTTATTTGAGTGTTGTGTTTTAAAGGGCCATTTTGGGATTTTTTCGTTAACTGTTTAGATTATCGCGCACGCGAGCTGCGTTAGTAATTTTTTGGCACCTGTTAGGTGAAACTTTGTATGCATCCGAGTAGACCCAAGAAGTTGAACTTCAAACACTAAAGGTCTAAAAAATTAATTTGAAAAACGGCACACTTTTTTTACGGAACATAAAAGTGACCAAATTCCTGTGTGTGAAGTTCAACTTATCGTACCTACATAGAGTGTGCCAAGTACTAGATTTCAGTCCATAGTACAGAGTAGGGTTATCGTGTTCTTAGTAACTACACGCATAGATAGCTATTTACATACCGATGCATGAAAAGACGTACAAAGTCACTTTCAGACAGTTAGGGTGTCGCAAACAGCTCATCATGCAAATCGTATGCAAAGCAGATGATTGCTTTTATTGCACGTACTGCAAAAACAAACACTAATAATTTTTTTCTGGATCTACAAACAAACATCTTTCTACCCTATATATGCAATAAAGACACCTAAAGTTAATATAATGTGATAAAACCGTACGATATTTTTCACGTGTTTCAGGAAGGACTGAGGATCCCGACCAACAGATTCTCGAAAAAAAAAAAAAAGAAAGAAAGAAAAAAAAACCATGAAGCCCCAAAGCAACCCAACATCGTCAACCAGATTATCAGCATCGAGTTCGCAGCCCCGACTGGCAAGCCACTGCTCGATTCGGGGCTGATTATGCCGCCGCAGTCCCGGAACAGGTCCGCACCGCAGCCGGTCCGCCGAGAACCGGCCAACCATCCCACCTCAGAACCAACACCGCCAGTCCCACCCCATAAGCACGAGGAAAGATAGCAAAGAAGGCAAGGGAAGGGGGAAAAAAAAAGAAAGAAAAATAGCGACTGGGCTAATTGATGAAGGGCCCAGCGCGCATTCGGCAACAGCAGCCAGCCGGAGCTGCTGTCAAGCACCACCAGCAGCATCACAGGCAGTTGTCGTCGCCGTGCAGTAGCGCCAGCAGCAATTCACCGGACCACGTTAAGTTCAAAGGGCTGCCTTGCAATGCCGCGGGCGCGGCTAAACAGAGACGGGCGGGAGGGGTACTTTGCGCCCTCGCGACGACGACGACGACGACGGCGGCGGTGCAGCCGAGCGAATGGTCAGTTCTTTGTTTGTATCCCTTCGGCCTTACTTTCGAGTGCCAATGTTACTTTGACGGAGGAGGGATGAGGAGGGTTACTTACTTTTTTTCTTTTCTTTTTTTTTTTTTTTTCTTTTTTCGGGCTGGTGCATTTGCGCAGTTGTTTTTGTTAAGCTCATGGGAAGCTTAACGATCGGTAGGAGAGATGTATGTAAATCCGCGTACGCACTGGTTGGTTACTTTATTCCTTTTTTTTTTCGGGTAAGGAGATTTTGATGCTCGGGGAAGGACGCGTTGCTTTATGGGTATCCAATTACGTGGATTTATTTTTTTAAGGAGGGGAAGGGACACGCGTGCATGTTTTTTGGTTTGAAGAGGCTTTGTTGCTGCTCGGGACAAGGGCAAAAACAACGGGTGCGTAACGAGGCGTGGTTGCGTTAATGTTGTTGACTGGCTGGGGGATTTTTTCTTTATTTTTTCGAAAAAAAAAAAAAAAAATCATCGCTGGGGCTTTTTTGAGCGAGGAAACGTATATTTTTACTTAGAGGTCGTCGAGAAACCTCACGAGGAGATTGGGTAGAAATGGAGCGGAAAAAAACAATGCACACCTGCTTCTGGTGCACCGCAGAGGGGGATTGTTCGTGGAAATATTATCGCCGTGACGCGACGTGTGAATTGATGGTGTTAATGTCAGGGAAGCATTTTTTTTTCTCTTGGAATGCCGTGATACTTTACTGGATGGGAGTCAATGGGCTTAGCGAGGATGTTTATTTGGAAAATAAATTTTTTTACGTAACTATTTGGAATCTGTTTTTAAAATACAATTTTTGATTTATAAGTGTTTCAGTTTAGTATGATACCATCACCTCTTACGAAAACAAATACCTACGATTCAGATTTTTTTTTAAATTCTTTTGTTTCGATAAGTTAT